TATTTTAAATTTAAAAACTTTATCTAAAGCTTAAATTTGGATGAAAATTAAAATATATGTAAATATTTAAGTAAAACTAAATTTAATGTATACGTATCAAAAGCTTTGTATTATATAATAAACAAATAAAAATAAAGTAGCATTAAATATTATTTAAATATTTATGTTTAATATTTTTATGGTATTATTGCTCTTTTTTAAATTAAAATTTTTTGGTAATAAATAAAATATCTGAAACTCAAGAAAATATTAATCTGAAGTCTATAAGGTAGATATAAATTCATAAACGCATTTTCTTTGCACTGCAATATTTATTAATATTTTTTAAGCAGCTGCTTAATTATTACAAATAATATATAACTATAATATTAATGCACTGCTTAGTAATAAACTTTTAAGCTACAATTCAAATACTTTAATTATTAACAAAAATATCATAGCATACTTTTCAGCTCAGTTAAACTTGAGCTGAGCTGCAAGCTACAAATGTAATTATAAAATGAACTAAAAATAACTTTTGGCAAAAACTAAAGCGCCTCGAGCACTTGGCACCCACACAGACACCCACTTCTGCACACACACACACAAACACTTAACACACTATTAGTGTCTCTTCTGATGTGAGTGTGTGCTTTTAGTTGAAATTTGATTAGATTTGATTGCTAATGGCAATCAATTTATTGTTGATTGCTACTTAAATGCTTTTCTATTTTCTATTACATTTTGGACGCGCAGCATAACGCAATGCTTTAAAAATCAATATCTGTATAGGAGAGGGAAGAAATATTGAATTAACGACAACGCTGCGTATACGTAATTTGATTTTACAGCAGTCAACGCCAACGCCAGCGCCAACGCCAATGCCAGCTGAGTGGTTTCAGTTCAGTTTTGCCAATACATACCTGGGTATACGATCATAGGAATCCCATGATGAGAGACAATTGTAGGACGAGTTGCGACTGTTGCCGGCCATATTGCATAATAGATGATCCATTGGCCAGTCGTTTTCAATTATATATCACACGCACATAAGCCACACACATGCACGCCCACACACAGACACACATACACCCAGTTGTATGTGTGAATTGAATATTTCAAAGTTTATAACTAAATTTATTTAGGGGAAAATGTAAGCGGTTTTACGGCTGTTAGCCTCGATTTTGCAACGCTTTTAGCTCTAATTGAGATTCACTTTGATGCGCTAACAATTTTCAATTGATTTTCTTTATTGATGATGATGATGATCTATTGCTTTTCGATTATGCATCACTATTGATTGCTTTGGAGCTGGCTTTAATAATTGATACAATTGGTTGGCGTCTCTTAACGGAATACACGATGTTGGCCAAATAGACTTTAAGACAGTTGGCTGACAGTTCCGGATTCTCACTTTAATCAAAATTGATTGCCCTGCCTGTAATTAATTTGTTGTTTGAGCACGCAATACAGAACGCAGCGCCATGCCCACACACTTAGAGACACAAACACAAACACCCTATTCTGCTAACAGATTTCAATATGATTTTCTTTATGGGTGTCTGTCTGTCTGTGTGTGTGTGTGTGTGTGTGTGCGTGCGCGTTTATCGTCAATTGTTTGCACTTTGGACATTTAATAAATTTATTGGCGTTACAGCCTTGAAATGAAGGCGACAAATGGGCGCAGCGTAATTGTTAGTGCTGCAATGACACTAGCTGAAAGCTGTAGCTTTCAGTTTATGCTAGCTGGATGGGAGGTAATAAACTGCTTAAAGCCTTAAGTTCATTAAAGCCCTAACTGAATGCTGATTACGCAGCAAACGGGAATGCTTAAAGTGCACTTGGAGCAACTCGCATTCAGTCGAAGCTTTAAGAGACTTTAGGTATTACTCGAATACCGGTTTGACAAGTACTCTTATTTTATTAACTGAAATACTAAACGCAAGACCCTCTTTAATCGTGCAGTCTGGCCAATTCCTTTTCAATGTCCTCTCAGAGAAGTCTACCCACATTTAATTGTCAAAAGCAGCCCATGTCATTGTCAGCTCAATTTACTGTATTTATATACAACGAAATTGATTTCGCTCTCGACATTTTAAAGCTTTTGTAATTTTTATATACATACATAAATGTTTTAATTACAATTCCATTAAAATTATCAATATTAACTCATATTATTAATTAATGCTTTTAATCACTTTTTCTGGTCTTTTATTACTTTGTTTAAGCACGCCTGCCTGTAAACTATTATAATGCAAAATTAATTTATAGCCATTTTAATTGGCATTTAACTGCGTAAACTTTTCAATGTGCCCTTTTTTCAGTCATGCAAATATTTATGGTGACATATGTAGAGCTATTTGTGCCTATTTATTAGGCGAAAGTGGACAGATGGAATATAAAGATTTATTAAAAATAGTTGGGATGAGATAAGCGAAGAGAGGGAGAGAGAGTTGGCATGATTACTAAATATCTATAAAATATATCTATGTCTTTCATGTATACGATATACATTCTTTGTATACACTGAACCCATTGAAAATCCATTGAAAAAATGGGAAATAATTTTAATTTTAAAAATTGGTTATATTTTTATAT